TTGGTATCACATTTTGGCAATGTTGTTAAAGATGTATAAATTTAAATGGATAATTTCGTCTGCTCCTGTGTAATCGAGGCACATTGAATATCAGTTTAAACTTGGAAATGAACATTACCATGAGTTACTTAATTGCTCAAATTTCATTGTTATCATGGTAATGACTTATAAGTTGTGATTGGAATTTGTTTTTCAAACTTCTTTCTTTGAAGGCGAATAACTCCACAACGAAGCTCAATAGGAATTTTTTTTATGAAATACTACAAGTATTTTGACCTCCCCTGTATATCCCTTCATTTTTGACATGACCTTTCCGGACATATACCCAAATCTTGGCGTCACCAATATTAATGATTTGTTTACAATGATCAATGGCAAACCGGTACGTCTACACTCGAAATAATGCCATCGCTGATTGGTTGAATAGAATCTCGTGAAAAATTACACCAGTCACAGGGTGACGGTATAGTAAATAATTACCGTAAGTTTATTCAGGGTATATATACAGGGTGATTCAGTCATAATGTCATTAATTTTAAGTGCAGATAGAGAAAAATGAGTATAATACGATGGCGTGATTAAAAAAAAATTTAAATGCATATTTAAGCTGAAAAAAAATATTATCAAATCATTATTTAACCCCCTTTTCAGGCTGACCGGCTGACGTCAGCCGGTTATTCACAATATTATGCACGGCTACGATATGAACAATGCGCCCTAGATACAACGTTGTCATAGTTATATATTTTCGCTCATATAAAGACAATAAATAAACGGTTTGCTCACGTCAGCCAATAATAATTTAAAATGCTATAAATTATTTTTTATTTATGCAATCAACATTAAATTGTTATTATTGCCTAGCAAGAACCTCGAGGAGGTCTGAGCATGCCTTGCCAAAAATCAGTTTTTATTAGCATCATAATGTTAATATTTTAACAACATTTGCTGTAAGCCCGAAGGGGAAGGTTTTCAAACAATTCTACTAAAAATTGAAAGTAACGCGGCTCATTCAGATGTTCAGGTAGAAAATGCGGCCCAATTAAACGATCGCCATATACTCCTGCCCATACATTGACACCGATTCTCCTCTGAAAGCTAAATCGACGAGTAGTGTGCGGGTTTTCATCTGACCAAATGTGACTATTATGGCTGCAAAGAAATTAGCTGTTTCACTTTAAATAAAATTTAATATTGAAGTTACAAGACTCCAAAAGTTCAAATAATTTAAATTTCATTTCATAACCATTTCAATTTCGTTACAGAAATATTGACATAAAAAACAACACACTAGATAAATTATAAAGAGAGGATGAAATGTATGTAGTATTTAAATATTGACTGGAAGTAATAGAAGAGAGACTTGTATATTCCATAAAAAAACAATGGGACGGAGACAAATAAACAACTCGGTACGTGTTTCCGACCTAGGCTAACCTGTGGTTCAGTAACCTTTTAACACACTTTTAATTTGCACGTGCACCATATAGTCCAGGAGCCAGATAGGGTTCCGTAGCCAGAGTGCCACGGCTGCAAACAACTTATTCTTAAACATTTGACCTCTTGTATTCAAAAAACTTGGTCGCAAAGCCTGAAAGTGGTCAGTTTAATTGATATCAACAAATTAAATGTTTAAATGGCTGTAAAAAGTTTATTTTTATAGCTAGTACAATTTATTCGCTAATAGTTACGTTTTCTCATAACAAACATGTATTTTTTTGAAAATTAAAAAAAATAACTAACCAAAGTTATTGCAAATTTAGTGCAAATCTATTACATTTTCCGTCCCCGCGCGCACTAATTTTACCAAATCTGGTTCTACTGGACGGATTGAGCGCTAATATCCTTGGCAGGAAAAAATGACCTCGGATGGAGCGGGGTTGAGCGGGATTCATCGCTGTAGGCCCGGACGCCTCGTAGAGGTAGGCCCTTTCCTCGTCATTCCGGACCGCCAACGCGGCCGGATTGGATTGGTTCGTGGGGCGTCCTCCTGTCCTGGCTGGACCCAGCCGGCTAGGGCCCTTTCTTCTGGCGCTCTTCTTTCTTCGCCGGCTCGTCTGTGTCGGCGGGGGTGTCGTGTGTCAGTCGCAAACGACTGGCGTCGTTTGCGACCGGAGTGGTGGTTTTAGGTGAGGTCGTGCAGCTATGCAGCTTAGGAAGCGCTTTGTTAAGGTGGCCCTTATGCTAGCGCGAGAGGGGAGAGTGGGATAGGAAGGTAGGGGGGAATGTGTGTGTATGTGTATGTCGTCGTTTTCGTCGTTTGATCCTGGCGGTCCTGAAACAGACAGACAAATTTCGACTCACCTGCGTCCAGGAGTTGATGTCTAGGCCGTCTGCGTCTGCCGGCAGCCTCTTCGGGTCGAAGGCCGTGGCGACGTCCAGGAAGACTGCCACGGTGGATTCTCGGTTGTTGAAACCTGCGGACAGATGTTCTACTAACCTGAGAATCTGCTGCTCCGTTGAGTGTCCGCTGCGGTAGGCGAATTGTTCGTCGTGGATGACTCGCAATTCTTCCGAGTTCTCACGCAGTCTGGTCAGGATGATCCTCTCCGCTACCTTGCTCATCATCGGCAGGAGACCTGTAACTGGCAGCAAAGGTTAGATTCTTACCTGGTTTCGGGAAGAAGATGACGTCGGCTTTCTTCCACCTAGCGGGGAATCTTCGCAGTCTCAGGATGGCGTTGACGATGTTGAGCAGCGCCATCACTCCCTTGTGGGGGAGCTTTCTGAGTATTCGATTTCCGATCTGGTCACATCCGGGTGCCTTGCGGGGGTTGAGGCGCCGCAGGATGTCCCTCACCTCCTCGGGTGTCGCCGGCCTAATGTCGTCCCTGTCGGGTTGGCGTCTGTAGCGCCGTACGCGTCGTTCCACCTCGTCGGCGTGGTCCTCGTCTTCGTCGTCGAGAAGGTTTTCCCTACACTGTAATTCAAGGCTGTCGGCGAATGCCTCGGCCTTTTCATACCTGGTGTAGACGATCCCGTTCTCTCCGTGAATGGGAGGCATAGGCTTCCGGGTGGTCCTCAGCGCCCGTTGCATCGTCCACAGGCTGCGGTCTTCGGGGTTTAGTGACTCCAGATGTCGTTGCCACGAGTCCTGGTAGTGCTCCTCTAGGGCCGCTTTTACCCTCCGGTTCAGCTGGTTTAACGTCTGCTTATCCCGGGGGTGTGCTGTCCTCGTGGCTCTTCTTTTCGCCGCACGTCTTTCCCTGATTAGGTCCTGCAACATAAGAGGTAACTCACCTGCATAGTTCGCTATCCTCCTCTCCGTCGTCTCCGTGGTGCTGGCTTCCAAGGCGGTGTGGATATCCGTCTCAAGGCTCGCGATGGCAGCCTCGAGGTCCGCCGCGTCGCGGATGACCGGAATGGGTGCGCATATTCGTTGCATTTCTGCGCGGAATAGGCCCCAGTCGGTCCGCCGCTTGGCAACGGTGTCCTCGCCGCGACGCTCGTCTCCTAAGGTTAGGAGAATGGGGGCATGGTTCGTCGCCCCCTCGTAGTGCGTCGTCAGATCGGCGTCCATCGGTATTGCCCTGAGCAAAGCGATATCCAACACGTCTGGTCTTCCAACTGCACCGTAGTACGTCGGTCCATCGGGTCCGTACGCTGCAACGTCCTCGTGGTTCTGCAAGAATTGCAGAAGCACCCTGCCACGCGTGGTGGTGGTCGTGCTGTGCCATTCGGGCGATTTCGCGTTAAAGTCCCCGATGGCTACGGTTTGGGGCCACGTCTCCAGGACCGCGCGTAAATCGTGATCGGTGAGCGGGAGATGAGGGGGCTGATAACAGGTCACCACGGCGATGTCTCCGTACCTGCGAGTACGGATCGATACGGCGGCGGCTTCCATGTTTTCTAGCTGAGGAACCTGCAACATATGGTGATCTATACCTCTTTTTATGAGCAGGGCCACGCCTCCGTGTCTGTTTCGGTTCCTGCGATACACTAGGTAGCCAGGAATCCTAACAGTGTGTGCGTCCTCTACTTTGGTCTCTTGTATCGCCAACACGTCCACGTCTAGACGGGGTAAGAGCTCCTTGAGTTCGATTTTTCGCCCCCGGAATCCGTCGACATTCCAGGAAGCAATTCTTAGGGATTGCACACTTTTCGGAGGGTCCATTTACTCCTGTAACAGAGATGGCATTTTACTTAAAAAAGCCGACATCGCGGAGTACATCTCCCGTATCTGCGCCAGCATGCTGGCCACATTGGCGGGTTCTGCACTCCTGTTGGTTTTGGGGCCACTCTTGGGTGCAGCGGCGGGGGCCTGATTTGGCCTGGCGGCTTCTGCGAAGCTCTTCGCCGCAGTCACCTTCGGGGGGTGCGTTGACTTAGCTTGTTCTGTAGTGGTCTGGGTAGGTACTTTGCGTTGATTGCCAGTGCCCCCTTTTCTCGCCGCCAACTTGGGGAAGCTGGAGCAGCCCCGATAATTGGCTCGATGGCCGCCGCCGCAGTAGTTCGCGCATTTTGCGAGAGTCTCCCGTGTCTTCTTGCAGTCACCGGAGTGGTGTCCCTCTCCGCATTTAATGCACTTAGCCGCCGCGGTGCAGCGACTTTGTGCGTGACCGAATCGCTGGCAGCGGTGGCACTGCGTCGGCTCAGTCCTGGCTCGTTGCGTCTCCACGAGGTGGCAGCATCTGGTTACCTTGAGGATGTCTTCTTGCTCCTGGGGGACCTGCACAAGGACCAGAGGCATCGGAGCTTTTGTCTTCCTGTTTGACATCCTAAAAACAGAAAAAGGGTTAAAACCTTGCTCTACGAGGTCAGACTGGATTTTTTTTTCAGAAATCCCGTCCGGTAGCCCTCGCACTACCACCCTCAGCCTCCTCTCGCTGGGGAGAGAGTATGTATGATACTCCCTGCCCTCGTCAGCGAGGGCACGTGTGAGGCAGCGGTAGCCCTCAGGCGTTTCCGGATGGATGGCGATGCCTTCCCCCGTTAACTTAGCCTTTGTGAATTTGATCTTTTTGGAGTCCATCCGTTTACTGACTACCGTCCAGTCTTCCTTAGGACCACTGGCGGAATTTTGGCCTTGTCCTGTGCGTTGGTAGTCGTTTTCGTGGCCGAATTGGTCTCGGTTTCCATCTTCTCAATTCTCTCGATGGCCTGGTCTCTTTGACAGGCGCGGTTGTCTGTTCTACCGGCTTCTTTTTACTTGTCGTTGGCTCGTCTTCGGAGCACGACGAAGTGCCGGGTTTTTCTCGTTTAACGCCCTTCGTGGGTTGACCTTGTCCTTTTAGGACTAGGAGCAGCTCCTGGTGCTGCTCCCTGGACCTCTTGTCGAGTTCCTCGAAAGCTTTTCGCTGTTCTCGGAGTTATTCCACCATCTGGCGTAGCCTCGCATTTTCTTCTGCGAGTTGGAGCTCTCTAGACGTGGATCTCGGACTGCCAGGCCTACTGCCACTCGTCTCGCCGCCGTTGGAGTCGTCGCCGTAAGTCGGCGTCGACAACCTAGACATCGTGCCCTGTCATCTGAAACACACATACCGGCGTTCTCTATGCCTAGGCTTGGAAAACGTCGGTTATTAGATATATTGCGAAATTGCAATAAGTATTGCGAATTCTTTTTCGGTAGCCTTAATAAAGGCCGAAATATTTGTCTTATAAAAGACAGTTTGTGGGACTACTTCGCTTCACAAGCACGTCTGCTCGGCTCGGCTGCTCGCTCGGAACTAACTACGGATTGAGACGCACGACATCTCATTTTAAAGCTTGAACTTTATTTTACAAGATAGGTAAGTTCCATTTATTAATTTATTTATTTAATAATTAATGGCAGCTTAGAAAGTTGTTAAATTTCAACGAAAATGCCGGTTTTAATTGTTTATAAGATTTTTTTTATTATTCAACTTCGACGAAAAGCCAAAAAAGTTACCGGATATTGTTCTTTGCATTCTAACAATGCAAGGCATGAGATCATTGTTAGGATGCGAGGAACAATAACCGGTAACTTTTTGGCTTTTCATCGAAATTTATAACAAAAAAGTTTTATAAACCAATAAAGCCACCATTTTCGTTGAAATTCCACACCTTTCTAAGCTGCCATTAATTTTTAAATAAATTAATTAATAAATGGAACTTACCTATCTTGTAAAATAAAGTTTAAGTTTTAAAATCCGTCCAATTGAACCAGTTATATGGTAAAATTGGTACGCGCAGAGACGGAAGATGTAAGATATTTGCACTAAATTTGCAATAACTTTGATTAAAGTTAATCTTTTGTTAATTTTCAAAAAAATATGTTTGTTATGAGAAAACGTAACTATTAACGGATAAAAATTGTACTAGCTATAAAAATAAACTTTTTACAGCCATTTAAACATTCAATTTGTTAATAACAATTAAACTGACCACTTTCAGACTTTGCCACCAAGTTTTTTGGTTTCAGGAAGTCAAAATACTTAGGTATAAGTTGTTTGCAGCCGTGGCATTCTGTTTGGCTACGTAACCCTATCTGGCCTCTAGACTAATACGAGTGTAGTAGCAAAAAGTTGTCGGTCTTTTATCAAAAGAAAATCGTGTCAACAAATTGAATTTAAAATCTAAAATACCGGCTGTGTTCTCGTAGTAGCTGTAGTCGCCCAGGTGCATCGAGTGTACGAAGTGGTCGGTTATACGTCAAATACTAACCTGGCGAGCTTGGACGTAAAACAGAGAGCGCCTCCAAAAAAACAAGTAAACAACAGTGGCGCAACAGAGGTAAAATGTAGTACATATGTGAAATTAAAAAACAAATTGGATTTATAATAAATTACATTTAAAATAAATAGTTTATGAGAATAAAGGAATTTTTGTAGGAACAAGGGTGCCAGACGTGAACTGATCCATTTGTCCCTTCATAATGTATAAAGAAATTGTTCAATTTCTAAAACCCGTAAAAGCGTAAACGTAAAAAGCGAATTGCACTGAATCCTTTGACAGGCAATGATTTACTACTTTGTATAGAATATGATCCTACTTAGAACTCGGACAAGACGTAAATAAACATCTTTGTCTGGACACATGATAAATAGATATTTTACCTTAAATATTGTGATAACAATTGTTATTTATTTATGCTAAAATAACAAATGAATAGGGTTATTACAATTTATCATTTTTAATATTAATAACAGTAACGTTTTCACGTTTTATAATTTATTATGTTAAATAATACACAGTTTTAGTATTTCAATTTATTATTCATATGCAGTTGCGTATAGCCAAAGTTTACATAATAAATGTAAACTTTAGTGTAAATCTAAACTTTGGTGTAACCTAGGTAGGTACTTATTGTTTTTGAGAAAGCAATACTTATATTTTTTACCTGTTTAAAATGCCAGCACGAGTAAAATAGCATTCATCTGTCCAGAGCACTTTGTTAATAAAGTTCTGCTGCACTTCGATTTAGGAACCAATTGCAAAATTCAAGACGATTGGGGAAATCAGCTGCTTCTAAAGCTTGAACTTTTTGAAAATGTGTCATGTTAACTCCTTTGCGGGAAAAATGCGGGAGATATGGAGGGTGGTAGATTTGAATAAACGCTTTAAATTGTTATTTAATGGTTTTGTAACCGCGAGTAGTGTATTTTGTATATTCGGGTATTTAGTGTGCCGATTTTTTTTTATTTGATAAAATTCAGTGTGCCTACAAACCTCTGCTTTATTTATTTTCTTTTAACGAAAATTGACTTCAAAAAGTAACGCTTGTTAAAACATTTTGTATTTGTTAATACAATTATTAAAATTAGTTATAATAAAATGCAGCATGATCCTTTATTTATTTGCATTATATTGGTTTCGTACATATGTATCCGTATACTAAAGCGGATTAATTAAATGTGAACCGCAGATTATGATGTGAACTTGGCAACGCTGTTCGCCTCAGCTGACGATTTGTTCGTGACATTACGTTACAAAATTTTCCGAGCATCCGGCATCTGGCAGGGCCGCCCTCTTAGCAGGAGTTATGGGTTGATTTCCTTCATTTTATTCATTTGTGTATTATTAACTTTACCACTCAGACACTGCCTGTGTATTAAAGTTTTTGCTAGACTTAGTCACAAGATGTAGACTTGAAATATAGGTACTTATTTTACTGCCAACCACTTATAGCTGTAACTGGGGAAGAGCGAATTCCTATATGTGGAGCGCCACACTCTTATACCGTTAGTTATAGTATCTATACTTCAGCCTTCTAACTGTTGTAACATTTTACCACCTGCCCATTGCACACATACCAGTGAGTATACTTAGTGTTTATCTGGCAATTGAAGTTTTATTGCACCTTAGGCCAAGGGAGGAATACATATTTCTGAACATAGATCTCAAGCTCCATTTATATCTCCTTTGTTTTGTGTGTCACAGATACAATCTATTACATGGGCAATTGGCAGACCACTACCATATAACAACCATGAGGATTCTACTATCTTGGAGCTAGTCCACTCTAAATCGTTTTGGGCTGACCTTAGTGGGAATTGAGTATACAGGCTGTTTCAGAAAGACCCAGAAAAAATAAGAATTTTTTGTCTTGTGAACTATATGTCTATCTCCTCTTGTTTTCGAGATACAAAGCGACAAAATAGAATTTTTTAGAATAGAATAGAATAGAATAAATTAGAAGTTTGACCCCTCACATACATTTTCAGTCATAAAATCAGATACTTATAAAAGTACTGGTACACATATATTAATATTATTAATTAAAATCGTCAATAGAAAATAATAGAAAAACAGTGAGACAATAAGAAAATTTCCAAATGGTGCGAAATATTTTGATGAAATTTGGTATTCAGGGGTTTTTAAGGATGCCAAATACGCCGGTCTAATTATTTTTTGGATATTTCATATAGGGCGCGAGTTATGCTACATTCCCATTAAATTTTAAGTTCTAATTTTTTTTATGGTTTGGTTTTTTACCATTCAGGCTCCAATTTCTAATGTACAATTTTATTTTCTAAAAATAATGTACTCTTGTTAGAACTTCCTAATGTGGACGGTTTTCGAGAATAAAGGCTTTTAATTAAACTCTTACAATATTATGGTCTATAAAATAAGTGACTTTTCTCAAAATAGGCTTATGTCAAAACTTATTGATGGTTGTCTTATAAACAACACATACATTCTTAGTTTTTAAACTCTATTTAACTTTATATCAAAATTTTAGTGATTTTAGTGACTGTAGTAATGACTAATTACAGTCACTAAAATTTTGATATAAAGTTAGAGTTTAAAATGTTACTAAAATTGTACATTAAAAATTGGAGCCCGAATGGTAAAAAACCTAACCTTAAAAAATTAGAACTTAAAATGTAATAGGAATGTAACATAACTAGCGCGCTCTATGAAATATCCAAAAAATAATTAGACCGGCGAATTTGGCATTCTTAAAAACCCCCGAATATCAAATTTCATAAAAAATAACTATATCTCACCGTTTGGAAATTTTCGTAAAAATTCTATTTAAATAATTTTATTTTATCGCTCTGTATCTCAAAAACAAGAGGAGATAGACATATAGTTCATAGGACAAAAAATTCTTATTTTTTTGTTGTACGCCCTGTATTTACGGGAGGTCTTTCTGAAACAGCCTGTATATATTTTTTGCTGCCTACGATTGCCCAGTGTTATAACCTATACCTCTGTCAGAGGGTGTAGCAAAATGACAATTGGAATTGAATATAGACTTTGTGTGTGTGTGTGTGTGTGTGTGTGTGTGTGTGCGTGCGTGCGCGTGTGTGTGTGCGTGCGTGCGTGCGTGCGTGTGGGGGTGGGTGCGGGTGGGTGCGTGCGTGCGTGACATTTGCAAAGGAGGTTCAACTCGTCAGTCTCTTTTCTTGTATTTTTTACTGTTCTTAGTATAAAATCGAACCAAATTCTATTATGTAGCGATGATACAGGGTGTCCCAAAAGACGCCCGCGTCCTTCTGGGATTTGAATAAGGATACAAAAAGGAATTGAAAATCAAGAGTGGAAAATTTTCCGATTGTTTTTCTTTCTTAAGTTATTGAAAAAATTATTCAAAAAACTAAAATAATTAAAATCAATTTTTTTTATCTCAAAGACAAATAATTTATAACTAATAGTAGGCAATTATAGTTTCCGATTGTCGGTTGTACCTGGGTGTAAAGAATTATTTTAACCTGAAAAGGACAGAGAAAAACATTTTAATAATAAAACAGTTTTATAAAATGGAGAGGAAAAAACTTATAAACTAAAACCATAATGTGCTTAAATAATAGAAATTGTTTTTACAAAAGCTGTTAAAATAAGTTGCTTTCTACTTCAAGACAAAGATTATAACGATTCAACATTGAAGCAT